ATGATAAATGCATTAAAGTATAGAGGTATATCTTTATCCTATATCGAACTCTATAACATTACCTAAACCCTATTATCTCTCTCGATAACAATAAAAATGCACTAAAAATTCAATTGTTGATCAACCAATTAAATAAATCTATAAAAACAATAATAAACAACTATAGATAATAATTAATTAAAAATATCATAACAAGAGTTCATCTCATCCTAGTAATGTATAAAACTAGCCCAGCTTATAGGAATTACAATAAATCTTGTTAAATGTATAGAACATTACTCGAAAATTGTAAATTAATGAATGAGAAAAGATGAATATTGATGTTCTTGAATTTCTTCAATGTAATCTTGATAAATCTTTAATAACTCCTCTTTTCTTTGCCCATAAATTCCAAATTTAATCTCCAATTCGAATTCTTGAACTTCGCCTTTGAAATCTTTCCTTGCCATGGGCAAACCATTTCCCATGCAAGGAGACTCATCTCCATCACTTGGACAGGAGAAAATCAATGTTTCCTAAGAGGAATCCCATCGATTCATACGATGATGATGCCTAGCAACCAAACATGGTCATCCCAATCAGAATATGCTTTGGTCAAATTTGAATTTAAAAAATGTTATTAAATCCGAATATCTGAGAATTATTCACCCAATTCAGCAATGCATCAAGAATTGTACGATTTACAAATTTTATTACAAATATCTGAGGCTATGTTACTACTTAGACTACCTAACCTATTCGAAGTCATCATATTTACTTAACAGGCAATATCGAACTATTGAAGAGGAGGTGTTAACATATAATGCGATAATACTTGAAAAAACAAAGCATTAATCAAAATGGATTACAAAAAGAAGAGGCTAAAGCCATCATATAATTTAGTAAAGTAAAAAATATAAATAAAAAAATAAAAGATTAGCCTAGGGTTCCACAACTACATCTTCATCTGCTATCACCACCACATCAGCTTGGCCTGCCCCCATGAACTTGAGCCTCCTTTTCATCATGAGCCTCATTGATAATAGCCTCAATGTTTGGGCGACCTCATATTAGACCTCTACATTTTTTCTCCAAAAAGTTGATGTCCCTTTCTAGATGAACCTTCCTTACTCGAGCCATCATCTCTCGAGCACTTCAAGAAGCCTGATAGTTGGCAAAGTCATCATAATCTTTAGTTTTATTGAAAATATCAATATAGTTCTTGACTACCATTTCATCAACTATAGCCACCTCGATTTTCAAAGATTTAGGGCTCGTTTAATTTGTTTCAGTTTTGAGTTCATTTCAATTTCCTATTTTGGGAGATTGTTTTAATATTGCTAAAAATACATTCGGTTTGTCATCTTGAAAAATTATTTCTCAAATAGAAAACTAGATAATAGGTTTGATTTAAATTTTTGAAAAATTGTTTTATGATGATGTTTGTTCCATGAAATTTGATTATCCAATAATATGTTAACAAATTATCAAGTAATATACATTTAATGTTCGTGAACCCTACAATTTTTTTCTTGCTTCAAAAGTCAAATAAAAATGAATAATAAATAGAACTGAAAATATGGGAAATAAAAATAAATATTACTGACATTGACGGAGAATTTTTTTCTATGTTCATTTGAACAATTTTTTTAAATTCTTATACAAATAATCATTAAGAGCTTGAATTTTTTTCATTTTTTATTTTCCAAATTTTTTTTAATTTTTCTAGAATTTTTTATAATCTTTCTATAATTTTTTTGTAGACCTTTTCATTTTTAAAATTTTATTTTCAAA